CCCCAAAACCCCAAAACCCCTACCTAAAGTATTGACATATTTATAAGGAAATTTAGAAGTTTTATATTAATTATTTATCAAAATAAAATAAAATTCAGATGCAACAACCTCCTGAATATCAACCAAGTATTATCGAAGATTCTCTAACAAAAATTGATCTTGTTAATGACAGCTTACTTGAAAGCTAGATAAACAACTTTTAAAGACTTCCAGAACTAGACCCTCATGTTTTCTGCAAAGATATTCAACAATATTTCAACGATGTTTCTTACTTGATAGATCTTAAATGTAATAAACAATCCCATCCTTTCTTTTTAATAGTCAGAATTATAACCTTATTATTATAGAATTGTATAATCCTATTTCTACTTGCTTTTATAGCACTTAAATGAGATATATGCCAGCTCTATTTTCGGTAAACGAAAGTTTAGTAAAAAATTATGATAAAAAATGTCAATATTAATTGCAAATATGGGACACCTTGAACTTTGAGATGATATATTTGAAAGAACTTTATTGTAAGTATTTAATTTTTAATATGGCAATAATAAACTTTAATTTTTAGATTAAATTGATAAATGGTCGATTTGCTTTAATAATCTTTTGTACACGTTAAAAGACGATTAAGAAAATTAAATTTATCTAGTTGAGATTATTGATAAAAATTAAGTAAAAGAAATCAAATTTTCCAGTCGAATTCTATCAATTGAATAGGGTATTTATTTTTAACCAATTAATTTTTAACCTATTAGTTTAAAACTTGAATACTGATGGAAAAAACTTGATTTTCACTATCGGTTAAAACTTGCTCATTTATAAATTGCCTAACAATTAAGAAGAAAATACTTTGATTGAAATTGATGATCTTAGCCAATAAGTTATTCCCTGCGAAATTGAAATTAAACAAATATTTACAAAACTAAGACAAAAGAATTAGGAAAGCTCCATTGAAGATATTGAAGTTATTGTTGTTTTTCAGACAAAAGATGCTATTTTAGATTTCAATTCGTTAAAGTTAAACGATAACCCCGATGAAAGCTAAATATTTCAGAACTTTATTTAATTAGTTGATTTAGCACCATAGTTTGTCAGGTAAAGGGGACCCAACACTAAAATTATTAAAATGAGTATATCAGTAGTAAATGATATAGTGTTTGCTATTTCCCTTTTAGATGATTAAACATTGGACTTTTACTCAGACATGGTGCTTAGAAAAAGAATTATTTTTGAAGAATATTAAACTTTGGGTAAAATTACGAAATTTGTAGATGTTGGAATGAGTACTAAAGCATTTTTCATGGGCAGTAAAGATGGGGAATATTATGAGCTCAAACATCACGGCTAAGTTCATATCTCCTTTCACAGTAGGAAATTAATTGAGGATAGATCTTTTAAGATGAGAGATATCACGGAAAAGATCCTTCATGACTATGTTTTTATTTATAAAGGCTTTTATCTAGTGGATTTTAAGGAAAACTCATATTGTCTTATTGCCCACACTGATACAATTTCAGTGTACAATATTCTATAAGGAATTTTCACACAACATATAAAATTCAATGAAGAGATAATAAAGATATTTGAGCAAAGTAGAGAAAATAACCCAGTTGATTAAAATCAAAATAAAACCAAAACTATATGCATAATACTTAAAAACCTTGATGTTCATATTGATATTTTGAGATACTTTGATTATGATATTTAAGCATCTTTCAGCATTGGATAGTATTTTGCTAATGATCATTAAAGGGTACAGTATTTACAAGTAGGAGATTATGATTCAAGAGAAGGTTACTATTATTTTGCCTATTCTAACGAAAAAATTATTTGCATTCATGAGGGAGAGTTATATGATGACATTGAAACAAGCGAAAAGAATATTCTCAAAATTAATTATCTAAATCTGGTTGTAGAACATTCTGATAATGTCAAAATATTAATAACTAATGAGACAAAGATAGTTTTATATGAACTTAAGAATGCAGGTTAATAATAAGATAAATAATTAAGTGGCTAGTCCTCTAAAAGAAAAATAAACCTAGAAAAGAAAAAAGACCTCTATAACACCCTAGATGGGCAACTGATTTTTGACTATGCTCTTACATTAGAATTGAGTCATCATTTGATAATGGTTAGCAAACAATTCATTGTACTCTTGGATAATTAAGGAAATATCATGAAAGAACCGTCTGAATAGATCGTGAAGGGAGATTTCATCGGAAAAGATTTTAGTTATCTTTTAAGGCAAGAAAGCTTGACTTCCACAGAGCATGGGCTCTATATGTTTAATCTTCCTTTAATGGTTGATATGCGCATAGTTTCGTTTATTCAACTTAGGCAAATCGATATCGGACATAACCCTTAGTTAAAACTCTTTAAGGACATAGAGAGAGTCGGATTCATGAAATCTTTAAGTACTTATGTAGTTCACCCATTTCTCCATCTCAACGATATTAAATTTATGGGAGTAGAAAGTTATGGAAAATGTTTATTATCATAGCAAGTAGGTCAGAATTTTATGAGGCTTACTGAGTCAAACCTCCTAGTTTCTTGGAATGTAATGACTGGGAAACTAAATTATAAGAAACGAGTCAATATATTTGATTAGGAGAAGGATAGAATTTTCAAGAGGAATAGTTCTGATTTTCTCTTACTATATAATATCGAATCTTAATCTGCAACAAAATAAAGTGATTTCTTCCTAAATGATCATTCTAAAAATTTAATCAAAGGCTAAATTACTTCTATGAAACAGAATAATATGATTACAAGATTTTGGAAAATTATTAAAATTGTTGATTATGATGAAATTCTAATTAAACATTTCTATTTCCCCTATTTGGAAAATCAAAGAATACTTATTAATAATGAAATGACTCTAATGATTGTTATTTTCGATTCTATCAGAGTCTATCTTTATCAAAGAGAAGATGTAGATAATCTCTTGACTAAATGGAATATAATCAAAAAGTTTTATGACTTTCCTTTTTACTTTGAATAATAGGGCATTGAATAATTTAGTATTCATTACATTAGTCCAGATTTTAAACATTATCTTAAATTCAAAAATGGTTCTGAGCAATTTTTAGTTAAAGAAGTTTTTTCAGGGAATCATGTATGCTTGATTGAAAAAGGAACTATATCACTTAAAGATAAAGCAAAACTAAGATAAGCAATTAATAGATTTCAATGGGTTGATTCTGATAAGTTCCAAGTTGTAAATGAAGATGGAATTCAAAAAACATTTAGATTGGAAAAAATCGGAAAGCATAGTAAATTTGTAGAAATAAACTATGTCATAATCCCCATTCGAGATAAGACAAAGATTAATAACTATTTGATAAATGCTGAAGATCCGTTTAAATCTATTAACTATGGTATTGAAGGAGACCTTCTTACAAGATTAAGAGAATGCTACTAATGGTATAAGTAGCATTATTATTTAAATACATTTTCTGGGAATGAAAAGTTTAACCTATTATTTCGAGTTCATTCTAGCTTAGAGAGCGCATTTGGAATTTAATCATTTACATTTTTGTATTGGACAATCGTTGAAAAACTAATCTTGGGATTTTTCCCAGTTAAAGAGATTCCTATTTTTGTACTTGAAATAGCTGTGTTTAATTTTCTGCCTGATGGAAATATATTGCATTATTTATAGAGATAACCAGAAAAATAGATTGAGATTTTTTAGAGATGCCACAGTGAAAGTGAGATACTCTATCATTTACCTTTTATGCCTAATATGAAAGGTGAAGATCCATTTACGAGAGTCTTATCATTCAATTAATAATGTGATAAGAAACAATTATTCTCAGTACTTCAATATCTAAAATTTTATGAGATTGATCATCATTCTAGGTGCATTAAGCATCTTTATCCATTAATTATTCAAACATAAACCTAAATTGCACTTGATTATTTCGAGTCAAGATTTTAGCAAACTCCTTAACTCAAAGTCATTACAAAGGGTGTTATTCATCAAGAATAATTAGTTTCTTCGCCATTATTAGACTATTCTATGATTAATCACATTAAAGGCATTCAGCATAAAGATGAGAGAAAAACAACTATCAATTTGTAGCTTTTGGATCTACCTGGAATCTATCATTTTATGGACAAATCCTTCGACGAGTTTTTCAAAAAACTTCAAGAAGTAGATGGATATGACTTCTTTACAAATAAAGCAATAATGGCGATAATTGATTTTAATTTCCCATTAGTAAAACTTGCTCTAATAAAGTATTCTGTTATACCTTTTGCTGCATTTCACATTTTATTCGTAATCTACATGAATTAGGTTTATGAATAAAGAAATGAAAGTGGAGATTATTATTACGTTAATATTGTTCTAGCCTCTATTTAGCTTGGATTTTCGTTTTACTTCATTTGCTATGAAATTCGATAAAGCCTATACATTGGTTTTAGTTATGTAAAATCATTTTGGAACTATATTGATATTTTAGCTCCAATTAGCGTTATCATTCTATAATGCTTTCAATTTTTAGAGTTCTAAGATTATTATTTAGAGAATGATACAAACAGATGCATTTTATCAATTTCAACATTGCTTATGTGGATGAAATTCCTTTCTATATTCAGGATATTTTAGTCAACAAATTATCTAATAAGAATGGTTTATGAGGTTATATATGATATGGGAGTATTCTTATTTGTTTACACACTTGTAGTGGCAGCATTCGGAGATGCCTTCTTAAAGATATCATCTGGCAATGAAGAGGATGATAAGTTTATCTCCTCGTTTATTCCTGCAGTTCTCTATGCCTATTCTATGACTCTTGGTGGGTACGACTTAGAGAATTTGGGTAATGTCGCTGTTGATCTAGTCTGGATTCTATGGATTTTATGTACAATTATTGGTATGATTGTGATGCTGAATTTACTAATTGCTATTGTCTCTGGTACTCATGACAAAGTTATACAAAATTAAAGAGGAGCATAATATAAGGAAATGGCGCATATTATTTCTGAAAATTCCTATCTAGTATCTGAAAATAAAAGAAAAGCTTATGTATAATAGGATAAATTCATGATTGTTATTACTGATCTAGAAAAATAGGATGAAGATGTTGATTAATTTGAATAAAAATTGGATTTTATTAAGGCACAGATATACAAATCCTCAAATAAATTTGATGAAAGGATGGATAATATAGAAAAAAGAGAATTAGCTAGATAAAAAATATAAGATGATACCTTTAATCATTTACTAAAGCGTATGGGAGAGTTAAAGTATTAATTCCTAAAATCACAATCAAAAGAGTAAAAGATTACAGTGAAAATCTATCCTGAACCTCTTATTAAGTTGATGCTTCTTGAAGTGTAGGAGCAATTTAAATTCAAGATGTATGATACATGGTTTTGTAGAGCCAAAAAATTTACAGGGTGTAAAAGTGGCTAAACTCGCTAATCTGGCTATAGAAGAATTTTAAGCGAAACAGTTTATCACTGTTCGGAATGTAACTTTGACTTTTGTGAGCAATGCTTTAAAGAGTACAAAAATTCTCACTCACATCACTTGCAATAAGTAACTTATTAGGATCTTTCAATGAAGTATAAAGGTGGATGGGCTTGCGATGCTAGAGATTTTAGACCTTGTTAACGTGATAATTCATATGATAATACTGATCCCTACTAAGCATTCTACCATAGAAAAACTTAGTCAAGTTCAGATGAGCAATTTGATTTGTGCGTTGATTGCGCAAATTATTATATCGATCAAAAAAATTGAATTTAATATAGTGATAATTGAAGTAACCCGAAAACTCCCTTACTTCATTACCATATTGAAAATCATTATAATTAGAATTTTAACTTTCAAATTTTCAATTCTCCCTAAATTTACTGATTTTAACTATATGGGGTTTTGGGGTTTTGGGG